CTGGACTACCTTGTCGCTAAAAGAGCGATACAGCGGCTAAGTCCCGGCCGACCCCTACGTACGGAACCCCAAAAAAGTAATTGCCATCTTTAGATCTGTTGTTCCCAGCACTTCAAAACGCACAAATAGGTATATGTTGTGTGAACAAAAAAAATATATTTCTTCACACTTACAATTTTTTTTAGCAGTCAGCGACAGCGTAGAATCGATCGTTCCCTGGAGCTTCAACCCGTATCTCGCCTCTACGGCTCAATCGGTAGCGCGCCCGGTCGGAGCGCGGGAGGTCGGCGGTTCGATTCTCCGACGATCTGAAATTTTTCTCAGGCCACCAAATTGCGAATGGACTTCAAACCCGTCATTTCACCACGCCCCTCTCGTGGTGTTCCGATGGCGTAGTGGTTACCATTGTTGGTGGCACTGCGTCATAGGTGTCAATTAAGTGTCGGCTCTGGGCCGGGGTTCGCGCCCCGGTGCCTGGCACCTCGCTGTGGTAGCGGGGTGCATAATAAGACCTAGAAACTGGCTGAAAAGGACTCCATGACCTGTGGTGGGTCAGTACAGTTTAACCAACGTACGCCTCAACCGTCTCACAAACCCCGGGAGTATGTTCTGACCACTGCGGTTGGAAGCGGCTGTTCGGAACAGTGACCACAGTTCGCTAACTACTGCGGTGGGATGAGGAAAGTACTCCCCCATTTTTATTTTTTATTTTTGAAGCCTGATACTCTTTAAAGCACATTCTACTCAAATTTCAGCATATCGACGGGGCCGGAGAAAATTAGGTCGGACAGCACTTTTAGGGATTTTGGAAAAATTACCAGGTCAGAGAAAAGTAGGTCGGACAATGTAAATTCACCCTTGCGCACCGTGTGAAGTGCGGCTGCGGGCTGCAGGAGGGACTTGTTGGTGCCGCTTCGTCCCGCCGGCTGCACACGACTGACAGCTCGCCCCGCCGTCCTCGGCGGAGAGCGACATGTTGTAGCCCAGCGCCCGCGGGTGACCCAGTGATAAGAACCTCTCCAGCTGCCGCCGCAGCTATTCTTTTGTTAGCACGCACGAGAATCGTCATGGTCATGGAGCGCAGACAATGGAAAGAAACAAAATTGTAAACTAACAGCAAATTTGATTCCATGTTTTTCACTGAGACGTAATCTGGGAGCGTACTCCCCAATTTTTATTTTTTTTCGACCGGGTAGGGGATTCGGGCTTGAGCATTTATGGCGCCGAACGGACTTTTATCTGTTGCCTTTCGTCGGGCGCCGGGGGTAGGCAATCAGTACGCTAGTTCTCTCTGTGGGTTGGGGGCTTCCGCGCCCCGTGAGTATTTGTCTAGTTGCGTCCGGTGCTTTCGGCTTGTCAGGGATTACTGCAGTGCAGGAACTTGGCTTCTGCTGCTAACACCCCGGGGGCGTCGGATATCGTATTGTCCGAAATAGTTCTTCTATAGTCGGGGCAAGTAAGCTGACTCTGGCCGTTGGATTTGTGGCCACATTTTCGTGTCCACAAACAGGGACGTCAACTTCAGGAGCCACCTGGTACATTGTCGTGCGCTCTATTTGCGTTTCACCGAATCGCTCGGTATATATACGAAATACATTAGATGTGAAATGTTTAGAGGTAATTTTTTTTAGAGGTACTTGACCTGTATTTTTTTTTAAAGACCTAATTAACTTTAGAGATAATCGACGCTTTGGAGGTACTTTGTTTAGAGGTAAAATGTTGACCATTGAAGCGCAAATTCCTTTGGCGCTGCTGCGGGACCTAATTAACTTTAGAAGCACACTCTTATGACATCCCTCAGCTAATTGAAATTTGACATACGCTAAAAGGCAAAATTACAGGTTTCCCACAAAAATTGCAGTTTATTGTGGCCGATAGCCTGCCCTACTGTATTCACTTCCTCTCACTCCTTACGGCGTCGCACGTCGCGCCGGGCCGCAGTGTTGGCAGGGCAGCAGACGCCTCGGCGACCCTTTCACCCCCGGCGCCAGGAAAAGACGCCCTGGAATCTAGGCAGGCCCCTGCAGGGGCGTGGCGAGGGGCGAGGGCCGCGGAGCACCGGGGCCACTACCTGCCCCCCCCCCCCCCTCTTCGCGGACGTACCGTACAGCGCCGTCGAAGATCCGACGACACCCTGCCCATACAAGAATGCGCGCAGTCTCGGACGCACGGGGGAGGTCCCCGATGGCTGGGTGCCATCAGAGTGGTCACCGTCGTGACCCCCGACGGCTGCAGCCACGCGGCGCCCCGGCGTTGGTCGGCCTGCACCAGCACCCGCTGCAGCCGGCCCGGTACTCTCTGCTCGACCTGTACAGCCGATTGCAACGAGTCTGATTGGTGGACTGGACCTGTGGCGGGGATGAGGGGGGCCGGCCGGGGCTGCAGGGGCCTGGGGCGAGGAGGGGCGGGGCGGGGCGGGGCCGGGGGAGGCGGGTTCCGAGCTGTTAACTGGGCAGGGCGCCGGCTGTGCTTCCTCAGTGGGCCGAAGACAACCTAACCGGCCGGAGCAACTCAAACAACACCAACAACACCATGGTGAGTACCTAACAGCCCCTTGGCGACTGCCTTACGATGCCTCGGGGAGCGAGGAGGGTGGCTGGGGCTTATGATTATGCGTCAAACACTTGGCCCGTCTAATTGATTTGTCTCTATATTCCAATAATTCATTCGTGGCTTTGCTCTTTGGGCCACCTGTCTGGGTGTGCGGGTGGTTTGTGAGAGGTGCGGGGGAAGTCCCAGGCCCAGGCGCGCCGCGGTTCAAACTCGGCCGGTCCGCGCGCGCCTCCGCGCGGGCGGGCATACTCCACGCCTGCGCTGGCGGGAGTCTTTGGGAACGCAGAGTATTCACGTGTTTTAGCGGGGCTTTCGGGACGGAATTTACGAACTGTGCTGCTCTCGTCGAGCCGTGACATCCGGTGGCGCATTGCACCCGCCGCAAACACGCGGCCCTTCCTTTTTATCATTTCCTTACTTCCAATCCTCCTCAAGTGGTCGAGAACGAAAAAGAAAACATAAAAAACAGAACACATTACTCGGTATATCTAATAGTAAGGCGGTAGCTTAGGGATGGATCGTCCAGAAAGTCCGTCCGTTTTTGTCTGATGCATTTGGCAAATCACGGGAGCTAGGCGCCTGCGAGACTCAGGGTAGGCCACCCCGCCGTACACTCATGCACTGTCAGCAATATGTTGCTTACCCAGCAGGCGGTGTGAGAGCTTGCGTGGGCTGAACTTAGCAATATCGTAACTGCGAATGAGGGAAATGTTTTCTGGATGCTCCACCATAGCACGCCAGAGTTGAAACAAATAATATTTTAAAGCGGAATCATGGAAAATTTTTATGCGTGGCACTTCACTTTTTGTCTCCCTTTTTGTGTACGTACGAGGTGACGGAGAACCCCCTTCCACTTTTGTTGTTATACTGCACTGCATGCAGACGTGCGGGCGTGCTACCTACTCTCTCGGGGTTATGGCCAACGGACATGAGCGTCATGCTCAGAGCCGATAGACAGTTTTGTCTGCATACGGCCCTGTATGAGTACACGAATCACTGTGAAAAACATGTTTGTACATGTCCTATATATTTTCTAATTTGCCATTTTCAAAACGAGTCGTGCATGTACAACCTCTCAGTCTTGCTCGTTATTCGAATCCAAGTTGATACGCAGAGCTGGTAAATTTTAGAATTTTGTATCGCAATTGTTGGACATCTTCCGTAGGTGTAATTATCCTTTAGCCTGTACGACAATTTTTCACTGGGATAAACCAAAGTGTTCAACCAGTCAACACTTGTAATTGCTCAAAAGCACCTATAATTGATCATTTCCTCCGTTGAACACTGCCGTTTGTCGCACACTGGAAAGTAATGAAAGGAGTTCAGACACTACATTTTCGCTTAATGTCTGTACACTGTTAAATTCCTACAAAGCATTCGCTTTGCAGAGCTGCGAAGTATTTTGCTCCTTTGTAACTACAAAGCATTTACTTTGCAATTACAAAGTGATGCTTTGCAATTGCGAAGCAATGAAAACGCTGCAAAGCATCGCTTTGCAATTGCAAAGTGTCACTTCGTAATTGCAAAGCATCACGTTGTAATTGCGAAGTAAATGCTTCGTAGTTACAAAGGAGCAAAATACTTCGCAGGCTTTTAACAGTGTATAGTTCAGCAAGTGCCAGGTAAACACCCACGTGAACCCTATAGCGGCCATTTGGATGGAACGGCAATAACTGTTGTGGGAGCTCATGGGATCCCATAAGTTCCCACGACATATTTGGCTGCTCCATCCATGGGGACGTTTATGGAGTACACAGCCCCCTTGTATGTGTTTCATTATTTGAATAATTTCAACTCAAAAATATAAACAGATATTTTTTTTCTGTGTCTGGGTACCCTATGACTCTCATAAAATAATTTGAAAAATGCGTATCTGTTAAAAACAAAACTAGAAATCTTTAGTCTACAGACGGAGTGGGACAAGGAGAATAATAAGTCAACGGGTTGTGTCTCCACTAGCTCGGCGTATATCATCCGATTTAGTGCTTTGCAATTGTACCATTGCCGGCTGCAGCATTGTTTTCCCTGGCAATTTGAGATGAGGTAATTCCCTACTCTTCCACCACCCTACCCCACCCCGACGCTTCAAGAAGCCTCAAGCAAGCTGCGCAAAAGCTATCAACCCCTGGGTCGCTTATTTCCATCTCAGTCCGTCTGTCCCGCCTTGGCCTTCCCCTCTCCCTCTCTTCCTTCTCCCTCTCTCTCTCTGTGTCTCTCGTGTGCGCTCTCTCTCTCTCTCCCCGCCCTCCCCCTCAACTCCTCTTACTTTCTACCCACGCGCTTTTCATGGCTTCCTCCCCTTGTTTGGCCCCGTGCCAAGATCCCGTTACATCAAGTGACTCTCCGCACCGCACAGCGCTGCTTGGCTGTAGCCAGCGCCGGCCCCGGCGCACCCACCGGGCGCCCCGCCCGCCCGCCCCGTCCCCCTATTATATTCGCAGAACTACCCGCGTTCGTATTGTAGCAGATCGATGAGAATCGATCGCCTCATTTTTTTTTGGTCCCCACTTACGTCCTATGGCAACACACAACACCCGGCTGTCAGGCCTAGCGCCTCCCCCTTCCCTCTGGGAACCACAGTGGTGACCGAACACGTGTATACATACACCAGGAATAAAAAGCTTTCCCGTCCAGCTCTGACACGCCGGACTGCGGTGGGAGCGCGCGTGCTTCGCGTGCTCGAGAACGGCTGATGTGTTTGGTGTGGGGGTGTCCCAGTGTCCAGCGTTATCCCTGCCCGACCTCTCTCTCTCTCTCTCTCCCTCTCTCCCCCAATCCCCGACTGTCTCTTCCCTGCGGGTCATATCCTAAATCACGCTCCGGATTCCTCGCTGCTGGTCTAGTAAGGGGGATGGGGAGCAGGATAGAGAGTGGGCGTTCCGGACATTCAGGAATGTCCCTTCCTATCCCTCCCTCCCTCTTTACACCCA